TTCACGAAGGTATCCAGCTGGGAAAATATAGTGTGTACAATACTTTCTGCCTTCAACTGACATTTCTCATAAATTGCAACAGAAACACTGCTATCAGCAGCTAAATAGCAGGTAGAATACAGCTCTACATAGCAAGTCTCAGCAGGACGCAGAAACTATGGTTACCAAATTTCCAAAGAAGAAAAGGTGGGGAGGGAGAGTTTCTATATAAGAATAAAATAACTGGGGAAGGGGGATGAGAAACATTTAAATTGGCTTCATTGAAAGCTGCCTTTTTTAGAAAAGGGCTTATAGGGGCTGACTCAGTGGCTTCAGCATTTGCTTTTTGCTGAATTGTTGTTTTAGAAGACCTCACAAGAGGTTTCTATTATAAGCAGTGCAAAACAGTCTTTCCTAGTTTGTCTTTAAAAAAAACCCTACCCTCCACACCTATTCCTTGAAATACTTTTTGGAAAATACGTAATACTTAACTGCTGCTGTAGTATAAGGTGTTTATGATAGAAAGGCTGGGTCAGCCACAATGCATTTATGCAGGAAATACAGCTTTGGTGGAAATGGGCTAGTAAACAGCATTATGTTCCTAATCATAGGATTTAGTAAGTTTCCATTTTGCCCTCAACTCTATTTAAACCCAAATCTTGACTACAAAAGGTTAAAAAACAACCTCACAGCATAGCTTAGAAAATATATCACAGTACTGATTTTTCATGTCTGGGTTTTAATTGTTGTTTAGTTGGTTTTGTTGTTCTGGGTTTTTTTTTTTTAGTTGATTTGGGGAGGGTATTAAGTCAGCTGAGATCTTGTTTATCATAGGTAGGTCTGTTCTTTGTGACCATGGCAAAAAGGGCAGGAAATAATGATCTTAAATTGTGGCAAGAGAGATTAAAGTGAGGCATTAGAAAAGCATGTCTAGCAGCAAGGATAATGAGGCTGTGGAGTAGGTTGTCTAGCAGCTTGTGGAGTCTTCCATAAGAGGAAAACTTATATGAACATTTTTTAGGATAAATAGTGATATTGCTTCAGAAGAAGGAGGAGTGGACTGATCCTCTTAGCTAAGTCCTCTTAGCTCTGTAGTCCAGTTCTGAGATCAGGATAGTTCATAATTGATTCTGGGTTTGGTTTCATTTTTTTGTTTGTTTGTTTTTTGTTTGTTTGTGGGGTTTTTTGTTTGTTTTGTTGTTGTTTGTTTTTTTAATTTACTTCTCACATGGGGATTTCCTAAGAAATTAGGACATGGTGTGTCACCTTCTTTTTTTTTTTAGGTTTAAAATTAGTTGAACAGAATTAGTGAAATATTTTAAAATGGCCACAAAAAGGAAATTCTGCTGCTTAAACCAGGGCTATATATAAATTATAGCAGACAGCTATTAATCAAGGGCTCCTGGGAACTAAATATGGAACAGAGAACAACTCTCTTATAGACAACCTAGTAATGAAGAGACCAACTGTTGAATCAATACAGCTGAAGGAAGAAGAAGGAGTGAGTGCAGATACACTTTGCTGGACTGTTACCCCTATGCTTGGCTTAAGCTTTAATTTTTCATAGCGATACCTGGCTAGTAAATATCTCATTATAATTTTGAAGGATGCTTCTCAAGTAACCTTTGCTTTTCTGTAACACAATCCTTTAAAGCTGTCTTATGAGCAATGCGGGAAGACAGTGTTACAAACATAGCACAGCACATTGAGATCCAAGAATACTATTCAAGTCTGAGTGAGGCACATAAATAACACCTAATCTTCCTTCTGAGAGGACAGCCATTTGGTTTCCGTTTGGAGAGTAATGAGGATGTATGACTCTTCTCCTTCAGTTTATCAAACTATTTTCAATGACATATTTTTCCAGCAGTAAATATTTATTAGCATTTTTGTTTGTTTATTTCTTTGAGGGGTATGGGTTATATGCTGAGTTTTGCTTGGAGAGAAGAAAAAAGACAACTCTTCGAGGTCTCAGAGATATGGTCCGGTCTATTTTATTTATGCAATCTCTAAGACAGTTGGCAGACAGCCCTCAAGAGGCAGAATCTCACTCTTAGTCTTTTCACTTTGCTCATTCTTTCCTATAATCTACTGGTAATAGTATTTAAGGTTTTTCTAGTTCTATGTTGTTTTCTCTGTAGAGAAAGAGTAATAGTGAGCTTTACCAATAATGTCCTCTTTGATTCATTGTTCATTTGGGTTCTTTCTGCAGTTTTCCCTTGCACTCCTGAAGTTTTATGAAGTCTAAATATCTCATGAATTTCTCAGTTGGTCTGCTATATACTTTTGTCAAAGAGCAGTTGTTATCCATTTGGTTATCTAACTGTGAATCTTCTTGACAGTGAGCAACTGGCTTAGAAATACATTACATTTCTCTCTGTCTAGAATCTTGAAGAAAAAGAGGATATTTTCTCATGGACAACAAGAGAAAAGCCCTGCTTTTCTAAGAGTATTGAAGATAGATAGTTTACTAGTCTCCCATTGAGAAGACCTTGAAAAAAAGAGATCTTTAACCAAGAACACACAACTTTTGATTGTGCCTGCTACATTCTCTAGGCAGGACATGTGAGATGTAGAATCAGAAAAGTAAGTTTGAAGCAGATTTGCCTTTTGTCATTTTTCATCTGATATACTGAGTCAAGTCTTTGCAAGTCTTTAGATGATTAAAGATAATTTAAAAAAAAAATATTTTCAGGAAAAAAAGTGAAACTTTTTGAAAGGAATAGTTGTTAAATTCATGTTTAGGAAATACAAATTATTTCATGAGAGTGCTTATACCTTCAGGATCCCATCAGTGTAAACAAAATATTAACAGTCTTTATGATCTCTTTGGTCAAGTTTGCATTTCTGATCGACCAAATGCAGATTTTGATATTCTCAGAAATAGTTCTCATTCATGAAACGGTTTTATCAAGAAGAGGAAAAAAGGCCTTTTCGGAGGACAGAAGCTAAAAATAGTATAAGCTTGCAAAACTTAAGGAAAGTTAGAATGGATCTGTTGGGCAACAAGGAATCTTTGCCATAGAATCCTACTGTTTTTAAAACCTTCAAATGAAGGGTAAAGGTAGCAGCTTTCTACCAGCCTACCAATACTGACATGTAGAAAGAGATCACAAAAACCTAATGTGGGTTTCTTTAGGTGTAGCTCTTCTGTATCCTCCAACCTTCTTCCTTGGTTTCTGACTCAATTCATCATGCAGCCGTTTTATCTGTCTAGCCCCAAAGGTTTTCTCCTAAAAAAAGAGTGTTTCTGATTGTGCATTGTGCATGGGTCTGTGCAAAGAAAAATAAGGCTTCTTGTAAGTAATGCTGACTGGATCTGGTATGTCTGTAGTATAGTGAAGGGAAAAATACATAGCCTTTACAAATGTTTTCCGTGGACAATGATGAAAAACCTAGTTAACTTTTCTTTTTTTTTTTTTTTTGAGTAGTCTGGTAGCTATTTTAGATGGTTTCAGATCTTTGTTAAGAATATATCAGTTCCTGTTATTAAATCTGCAGTCCTCAAGTCTCCACTGATGTTCCTTGTTTCAAAGACAGGTCTCTTCCTTCTGTGGTGTTTTCGTAGATAATTTTCTTTCTCAAAATTACATTTGCAGAAGGTCTTCAACCAGAACAGTAAAGGTCTTCTAGGAGAAAACATCCCCTTACCAATGGACACCAGTCCTACTTTTGCTCGGTTCCCAAGAGGCAGAAAGACCCCATGTTCTTGTGTCCCTTAATAGTTAAAAAAAATGTATGTTCTTACCTTGATCTCTAGTACTCTTTTCTGTCTCTGTTACAGAGGTAGGGTCCATGAGAAAGAAACCCTGCCTTTGTAATCTAGGTAACTAAAATACTCAAAGATCATTGGCAGAACCTCTGAACACAGCAAAACTGTGAGGAAAAGGTGCCACAGTCTTGGCTGCCTTCTGGGTGAGGAGAGAGGCTTCTGCCAAAGATTTGAGATAGGCAGCCAACTGTCATTCCTTTCACACCTTCCCAAAGTGTTACAAACTTCTTGTCATGGCATCTGTTGTTACTGCATTTGGTTGTCTACTGCTCAGAGATGCGATCCATCAACAGGAACCCATGGGTGGAGACATATGGAAGTCTGACCTTTTTCCCACTGCCAAACTTTCTCTCTCAGTGCTGCCTTCTTTTCCTGATGAAATGTCCTGAATCTGAGAGATTCTACTCCATCCTCCCCTCTAAGTGGCCTTAATCTGCTGATGAATATTGCACAAAAAGTACAAGGGAGCAAAAACAGTACTATTTTTGCTGATTAATTTTGTGGTTTCAGATGGTCATATAATTATAGAGTACACTGAGTTGGAAAGGACCCATGAGGATCATCAAATTCCAAATCCTGGCCCTGCACAGGACTCCCCAAGAATTACACCATGTGCCTGAGATCATTGTCCAAATGCTTCTTGAGCTTAAGCTTGATACTGTGACCACTTCCCTGGGGAGTCTGTTCCAGTGCTCAACCACCCTCTGGATGAAAAATTTTTTCCTGATACCCAACCTAAGCCTCCTCTGACTCAGCTTCATGCCATCTGCTGAAGTCCTGTTACTGGTCACGAGAGTGAAGAGATCAGTACCTGTCCCTCCGCTTTTCCTCCTGAGTAGGTTGCAGACTGCAATGAGGTCTCCCCTCAGTCTCCTCTTCTCCAGGCTGAACAGACCAAGTGACCTCAGTCACTCCTTGTATGGCTTTCCCTCCAGACCCTTCACCATCCTTGTGGCCTTCCCTTTGAAACTTTCTAATAGCCTAATGTCTTTTTTTATACTGATGCCCAAAACTGCACACAGGACTCGGGAAGAGGCTGCCCCAGTGCAGAGCAGAGCGGGACAATCCCTTCCCTCAACCAGCTGGAGATGCTTTGCCTGGTGTCCCCCCGGACACAGTTGGCCCTCTTGGCTGCCAGCGCACTGCTGATTCATATTCAACTTGCCATTAACCAGGACCCCCAGATCCTTTTCCTCAGTTCTGCTCTCCAGCCTGTCATTCCTCAGTCTGTACACACAACTAGGGCTTCCCTGTCCCAAGTGCAGAATCCGATGCTTCCCTTTTTAAGCTTCCTACAGTTGATGATTGCCCATCTCTTCATCTTCAGATGACCGTGTGTCCTGAAACACAAAGATTCTATAAAGCAGATAGGTGAGTTGAAAGATTGTAACAACTATACAAATAGTGTGGAGAGCAAGGGAGGAGTCTGCCCATGCAGTTGTGTCCCAGCCTAGAGAAGGGTGTATATCCACCTCAGTGAACCCCCACAGTCTCCAGGGATATAAGGAAAAATACATTAGCTAAATGTATTTTTGAAACCACATTCACAGATTAGGACTGAGGTAGCTGGATTTTATAAGGGTTAGATACATCATACTGGCATTTCATGAAAGGGGAGGTCTATTTAAGGTATGCAGATTATTCCACTTAGTAAATGATGGCATCATTTCCCTTGCTTCCATCCTGACAGAAACCATTAGCTGTAGTGGATTAGCTGCTGTCTGAGTGGAAGTTGTTCTGACAAAGATGATCATGTAAGGAGTGAGCTGTAATTTTATATTAGGAGAGAGATCAGAAAATTAATGCATTAGAGGATTTGAAGAAAAAGAACAAAACACTCCCAGAAGCCTTGCTTTTGTGGCCTGTCAGAAGCAGCTTTCTTTGTATGGTCAGAGAGAACATAAATGACAATAAAACATGCAGTGAAGAGTTGTATTTAATCTGACTAAATACTATGCATAAAGTCTTTATCAGTCCTCTCTGCTCCTGCTGTTACAGGCATATATTTTTTGACATCCAGTTCACTTCCCCCTCTCTCCCTCTTACTCCTAGTCATGAGTTGCAAAAATTCAAATTTTTTGACATTTTCATTATCATAAATAGAGGATGAAGGGTAATACTAGTATGATCTGGTGAGTTAACCTGGTTCAGATATGACATTCCTTTCCTTTTGCCCTGCCAAAAGTTACACTGTGTTACTAAGCACAATTCACAGTGTAGTGGTGATCTGAGTTCACAAGCAGTGTCATCACAAAGATGGGAAATTGAAGTGTTCCTTGCCAAACTTTACAAGGAAGTAGTGAGTGAGGAGTGGAAATCAGAATTAGGCTCTTGGGGCTTTTGGTCAGCGTACGGTGCTCTCCCCAGCACCAATCTGCATAAAAGAATGAAGGGAAGAATTTTCCTCATTAATTCACGTGATAAGGAAGTGAAACAAACCATGCAGCTTGTACTACAAAGTTTTTATTGCTTCATAAATTTTATTGATATAGAAATTAACCAGTTTCCTCTGTGTTTTAAACCGAGTCAGTTTGTGTTTATTGACACAGGGGAGGTTCATCTGCGTTCAAGAGTAGATCTGTTTTCTGTTAGAGAAGGCTGCACTTCAGAGATATTTTTAATACTATAGTGTATTAACTTGACACACCATGCTTAAGAATCTGTGGTTTGGGATTTTTAATGTAACAACAACAGTTTTTCTCTCTGATTGGTTTTATGATAAGCAGTGAAGTATCATGAAAGAGGTATCAAATTGTAAGAAACCCACTGTGAGCTGCAATGGATGTGCCAAAGTCAAGAAATATTTATATGTGTTTCCAAAAACTTTTCAGCACTGCATCCACATTAGGTCTACTGCCATGTTTACTGAAGCATTTGAACGATGTGTGCCTGCTCATTTAGGGAGGAACGGGCATCTTATATTCAGGAATGTCTTTCATTTAAGCTATATTATTCATTAAGAGTTTTAAGCTGCCCTAATACATAAGGAAGTTACACAGCTTTATTTGAGTGCTTCAATACAGACATGTCCATATTTGAAATGGAAGCTTAATGATCTGTGACTATCTGAAAAATGAAAATGTATAGGCAGAGCCGTTGAAACATCACCAATTTTTTTTTCTCTATTTATACAATAATGATTGTACAAGATGGGATTTGCATCTCTGAGCAATGAGTTAAATACTTCCAAATTTCCTTGAAATCAATCTTGTGTGTTCATGCATGCAGATTGAAAACCATGACTTTGAGATTTACGTTCTGTGAATAAAATTTACGTTCCCTGAAAAGCAAAGAAGGCTGTCATTTCATGCTTCCTAACCTTCATTGTCTATTTTGCTTCAGCACACAGAAGCCCAGCGCGCCTGCGCCTAGTCTAGAGGAACAGATTTCTGCTCTGTCAATTTTTGTTTTATAAAAGCCATGTTTTCTTTATTGCCTTTATCTGCTACATCTGTAAAATTTATTTAAGCAGTGACAGATTTGTCTTTTGGGCCTGGAGTCCAAAGGAATAAGTACCATCAAGCTATTGGTAAAAGATTTGTTGGATATGACTGTTCATTAAATTGCAAGGAGGTGTGGGTAAGGCTAGCTGTCTAAAGCTGCTGAGAGTCGGTGGGTTATGGGCTGTACTTAGTGAATATACATCATCAGAGAGATAAATGTGCTTCAGCAGCCTTTTGTTTTGTTCAGCTAAAATGGGTGTTGATTTTGGAAAGCTCAGCAAAATCACTGTCATTTTTCTAAATTAGATATCATTCATCCTACAGAGCATCCATGAAAAACATCATTTAGGTTAAATATAGCAGCATTACTTTTCAGCTTTTTAAGTTGACAAGAATAGCATTACATTTATTTGCCTTAAAAAAATGCTAAAACTGAATGCAGTGCCTGGAGTGAGAGCTAATTGACAGCACTGTGAACAGGAATCTTTGCACACTACAAGTCTACAGTCATGGGTGCTGCAGTGCTTACCTTTTCACACTGCTTAGCCAGTTTTTCTCAGCCATGTCCCTGTAGGGACAAGAACTTTAACGTTGGTACTGTTTTAAAGAAAGGGAATAAGAGAATATCCATAAGGATGAAAACTTAAATTACTAATACAGTGACTGTTTGATCCACAGTAACTACATAAATAAATTGAAAGGCCTGCTGTATTTTTAATTGTTATTATGCTATTCCATAATAGCTGTTTGTTCAGGTGTCCACCAAAATAAATGAAACTTTGTCTTCAGCACAGTCTGGAAACAAGCTATTTGATGGACTATGAATTATGAGTTCTTCTCATTCTTCTGGGCATAAATATGCTTTCAGCTGAAAGCCTGGGAGGGAAGGGAATCCTTCATTTGAAATGAGCTTTTAGTCTGCACTTGATCTCCTCTGGTTTTGTATGAAAAGCCACATTGGACTGAATGACAGCTGAAAAGGCAAGCTGCTGTGTCAGAGGATTTAGCAGAAGGAAACGGCTGTTCTTTCAGCCAGCACCTTCCCAGAAAGCTCTCTGAATCTTATACCACTGGTTTCAGTGCACTTGTGAAGTCGGAGCACCAAAAATATGTGGATGAAACAGTTTAATTGAAAATATCTCTCACTGTCTTAGTACTGATACGTGGGTTTAAGAAAGTAAATAAATCTTCACTTATGTCTATCAATTTCTTCTCTGTAATTTAAAATCAGATTATCCTTTCCTAAAAGCTGAGTTAATTAAAAGAAAAACAAACAAACAAACAAAACCCACAAAAATCAAACCCAGTCTCTTCCTTCTCTCTCTTCAATATCAAGGAAAACTAATCTCTTGTTACTGCAGTTGTTTTCTGCTGTTTGGTTATAAGTTCCATTCCTATCAAAACAAGTCCATAAAAAGCAGCCTTTATTTTATTTTTGTTTCAGTTTTAACTTTGATAAATAGGAAAAAAAGGCAAGGAAGACTTGCCAACTGTAAAATCTAGTCATGTTACACAGTATTGAAATTCTCGCACAAAAGTGGTTTTCTGTGTATGTGGTGACAGCACCTGTTGATGTTAGTAAGATTTATGCATGCAACTGAAATGATACACAGTTGCTTAAACTTAATAGTAATAATGAAAGGTGAATGTTTTTAAAGACAAGTCAATATTCTTCCATGTCAGTCATGCAGGAGTCCCACTTAAATGATCTTCAGACTGCAGAAGAACACTAGGAAAAAATAATGACGTCATGATTAGTTCTTAAAGTGTTTTTCCATTTTAAGCACAATGTGATATTGATTTTGAAATAATATAGAGTGACTAAAGAAGAACATATCCATTTGTTCATAGTTAGCATAGCATGATTCCACAAGGGATATTTTTAATCAAATCTGTTATGGTCACTGATTTTCTAATACACAAGCTATGTTACGGTACATGACAACATTTATATGACAGTTCTGTTTGACTGAAAGGTTATCCTTCTTGTTGTGCATAAAATTATCTTTGGAAATCTTTCTTAGTATGTAAAAATGATCAGTCTAGCTATTTCAGTGATACACCTTTTTTCACACACTTCTGAGTTTTAAGGACTGTTCTTTGTTACTGATGATTATTAGCAATCAGGAATGTGTTACTTTCGGGGGGGGAAAAGGCTTTTGGGCCATTGTTGTAAGGCTCAGAGTCAATAAACTCCGAGCTGCTCATAATAGCCTTTCTTTTTCATTGAAGCCTTGGACTTGCTCTAACTTCATCAGAGCACAGGAAAAAAAGAATAATGTGAACAATAGGAGCCATGGAGTTTGATTTAGGCCTAATGTGAGGAGGCTGTAAAAGCTGTCAGGGAGCTTGATTGATTGGCTCTTGGGTTGCAGTCCTCAGTGCAAAGCAATAATGTTCCTGCCTCTTGTGAGAGGGCTGAATGTGTCACCTGGGGTCAGAGCTTATCAGCCTCCGGGGCCAGCATTTCAGATGAGGCCAAAGTGCAGTCAATAATTTATACAGAAATTTGTGTGTAGATTCTGGAGTAAAACAAGCTTTATTTTGAAACTGTTTGTCTGACCAAGGAAATAATTAAGTCATGTCTGAAAGTCCAGTCTTATTTTTTTTTCTTTTAGTGGCATGGGAAAATAGTCTCCCAGTGTTGAAATATTTTTTTCTGTCATCATGTTGGTTCTAGTTTTGATGAGGGTGGGCATGCCTCTGATAATCCTTTGAGGGATGTTACATTGCCAAAATAAATGTAGAGATTTTTAACTGATTCCTAGAATCCTAGTTTTTGCTTACATTTTATGCAACACTGGGCTGTGTTCAGTGTCTAAATAGTTTTGTTTCCAAACTTATGAGGGTCAAAGGTTGACCAGCTCTAGTGCATGAAAAAACCAAGAGAAGCTGTA